AAATAGAGGATGAAAGACATTAGCTATGTGCAACACATAATGGAGGTTAACACCTTCACAACCGAAGTTATAAGCAATAGTCCTAATATGCAGTCTAGCTAAACTGTAATTCTCTTCTGCTCTCTATGAGGAAGATTTTAATCTTGATAATCAATGAATCCTTGATACTGGATTATTGGTAGATGCAATGCAGCTTTTGCACACACATATTGATACATTTGTGCTTATTAGCTGAAAGGGGGAATGCATGTTTGAGTTACAGGACATAGATAGGTAGGAAGGAAGATGAAGTCAGGCAAAGGTTGGCCTTAGCTTTGGTTTTGAAACTAAGAAAGAAAAAGCTTGAAAAACAGAAGAATTAAGAGAAATTCCATATGCTGTTTATGTAATATGCAAAAGAATAAAGCCAGGTTACAAAAGGACTCTATTTTGCTTTCCCATCAGTTCACAATAATTAGACAGATGATGTTTGGGATACGTAAGTTGTGTATAGTTGTCTGAGAGATGTCTTTATTTGTATGTAATTGATAAATTACTGTTATAAAATGTGTCTCTGAACAAGCTTTTGGGTTCAAAGAAAAAATATTTTTTTATTTTTTTCTCCCCTCTGGTTGACTTCATGTATATTTTATCTAGCAAGGATCCTGTCTGTGGATCTCTGTTGGCAAAATTCCTTCATATGAAATGAGGCAGATGTTAGCAGTGCATTACAAGTGTGTGAGTCTTTGTATCAGGGTTGCTTAGGATGTGTGTGAGGATGCTGATTTTAAAATCTCTGAAGCACAAGGAGAGACTCTTGTCAGCTCAGCAGGCATTGGGTCAAGCCGTTTATAATGACCTTCTTGTAAATGTCCCTAGAGTGTACCCTCAAGGTCTGTGTAGAATATAGTCTCCACTTTCACCCTTACAGCAGAGATGTCGTAAAGATCATGTGCTGGATGTGTGTGTATGCCTACAGAGCTTTGGGACTGGTGCTGGCTGATCCTACAGCTGAACGTCACCAGCTTATATCCTACCCACTTCTCACAGACTGAGTCTGACACATGAGGGAGATGTTATTAGCAGGTAGTTTTCACTTGGGATTTTGGAGAAACTTGTGAGTCGGGTGGTGTCAGTTATTCCTGCTGGCTGGGCATGGTCCCAACAGTGAACTCCTGAGTCAGAAAACACTATTTTCCAAAAAGGAACACAAAATGGAGAAGAACCAGCCCATGTGCCAATGAATCACAAACTGTACCCCAAGGTACAGTTGTGACCTTGGGGTACCTCTGTCTGACACCCAAGGTAGGTGTCAGACAGAGTGGGCGGGTGGTCACGGTGGGGCTCCCCTTGCCCACCAACTGCTGGGTGTGGAGAGGGTGGGCATCAGCAAGCTCGGCACACCATCTGCCAGTCGTGTCAGCAGCCAAAGCATCTGGGAGAGCTGCCAGAGCTTGTTGGTGGTGGATTTGTAAATAGCAGCACTGTTAGCAGTGGTTGTGCTAGGAACCCTTTCAAGTCCAAATATCATGACACATATATGGGGGGTGGATGCTGGGTGAGAGAATGTGTGCAGCTCATTCAGGTACATGCATGTGTAATTTTCCAAAACACGGATGCAAAATAAATGACACCCTATTGCTGCAAAATAATGTAGTTTGCTTATATGTCTCCTGGCATGCATGTTTGTTTGCACGCACAGAGGTGACTTTTCCCTGCTAAGGGCTTGGCATATGTTCACAGATTGCAAGAGCCAGCAGTAGCTGACAGATTCTCTACTATTTGTTTATCCTAAACACAGGCAATCCATGAATCCTAACTCAGTCCTCGCTTCATCAGAAACCTTGTCTGATTAAGTGCAGAGTCCCGAAGCCCTTTAGAAAACCTATCAAAGTAAAACATGAAAATTCAACACCTCACTCTTTCCATGAGTGAAGCTGCATAGTACTTACCAGTTCCTGCATGACTTAGGCTTGTTTTCTCTTTAAGATTCATTATGCAGGAAATTAGCTAGAGGTAAAACAAATCTAGTTATAACTCCTTAAATGCTTATTATTTAGCCGGAACTGAGTTTCCCAAATATCAGCAAGCGCTAGCAAATACAAGGGCCATTTGCCACGCAGGCAAGAGTGACTGTAATTTCCAGGGTGGAGAACTCATACCTTACCTGCTCTTCACAACCCATAAGCAGTAGGCTTTGTGCTTCTGCAATATCTGTACTTTTGTGGGGGGTTTTCTCATACTTACCTAATGGTGCCTGAACCAATCACACCAGAAAAGGAGCTGTAAAATTTCCAGCAATAACACCTTTGAAATTAAACCAGCTTCCTGAAGTCCCACAAATCCAGGGTTGGCTCAAGAACAACCTTAAGCAGATGGGAGCTACCACTGCCTACGCCATGGTTTAGGTCACACACCGCGTACCCACTCAAGGTCCTCTGAAAGTTTGCCTGGGACACAGAATGGAAGTAAGATGGCTTTGGTGATGAGTCTTCCCCCCTTCACATGTATGCTACAGGGATTGTGTTTCGTTGTCTTTAATGCAAATCTGAGCACCAAATACCTCTTCCCATGTGATAGGACCAGTCTGCAAGGTTGATGGAGTATGGCTAGATTCGACAACTTTTTCCCTCAAAAAAAAAAAAAAAAAAAAAAAAAAAAAAAAAAAAAAAAAATCACCCCAAACCAAATCAACTCAGTGGAACAGCACAGAATAATTGCGGCTTATGCCAGTTTCAGAAATGGAAGAAACCTTTATTACTGGGTAAACTAAACTGATTAGTATAGATTTCAATGGAGTTAGTTGTTCTAACCAGCAAAATAGTTGTAACCAGTAAATTGCAAAACATGGCACTGCTTCACTACCAGTAAATAGCACAGACTAGTGCAGACTGTAATGTTGGTTGAGTCTCTGGTGGCTCTTCCAGAGGCTCCCTAAGTAGTTCTGAGCAGTTGCATGTAAAGTTTTCAAAACATACTGCAGTTGGCATGGTGTAGGTCATCCCTTGCTTACATTTGATGGAAAATGGAGCCATTTCACAAACGTTACTTTTCTTTGGAAACTTTTACCATATTTCATCATGGGTCACACCCTCTCCTGCTGTACCTAAATCCACATGAGCAGGGTCTGCCCCCGGAGCCCACACACGACCTCACCACCAGCTGCCCCTGGGCATGCCCCAGAGGTTTCCTCCACGTAGTTCTGGGGTGAATCATGCCAGGCCATGGCACATTGCTACAGAGAGCTCACTTTGGTACCGGCAGCAGACAGCAGTACCTCCTGCCCATTCCTCAGGTTGTTGTAGTTACTAGCTACAGGCTTGGTGGGGTTGATGTGGAAAAGCACAAGTGAGGCAGGAGTTACCCAGCACGGATAGGTAAGGTGAACTTGGAGGAGGCTGGTTCCCTGCAAGGCCCAGTGGAGGGAACAGAAAACACACTGTGTTAATGCCTGAAAGGAGCTGTGGGATGGGAAAACTGGAGGTGTCTGGCCTGAGGAATAAAGAGAAATCAGGCAGGGTTTTGTGGCACCAGAGCTGGTGTGGTAAGGAACTGCTCTGCTGGTGTGTGCAGCCATGCACATTTCAGGAATGGCCTTCCCTGAGTTGTCAGGGAGCTGTGCCTTTTGAAATCCTTCTTATCTTGCATGTTTTCTCAGCGATGGGCCTATGACCTTGGAATTACCTGTGTTAATCTGTAACTCCACTCATTTCTCTTATTTTTTTCTGCAGATGTCTCAGAAGTATTGGTCTTTCACTGACACCTGTGGATATAAGACAGAATTACACACAGGCTCTCATACTCCAGAAGCCGTGAATTTTATCTCTGCAGCCTGCTGGGTGAGGGTATCCTGCCTCCCAAGGACCTTGGCCTGAGGAGGGCTTGGTTCTACAACAGGTTCATGATACAGCAGTGATGAAGGCTAAGTTGCACGTTACCTTCAAGATTAACATTTGTCAGTACATTGCTCTTTCCCTGGGGCAATTCTCCGTGCAAAGTGACTCCGTTTTTTTGCTTTTTCTGGGCACATACTTAGTGATGCATTTTGCAAGAGCAAAAACAGGGTAAAGCGGTGTGCCTGGCAGGCAGAGCAAGAAGACTTGAGGCACTGCTGCCACTAACAAGCTGCCCTGAGAGTACACACCAGTGGCTTCATTGGGACAGGGGGGGCTGTGGCAGAGGACATTAGCTGGTTTTCTGAGTAAGTTACTGGCTTGCAGAAGTGAAGTTACTGCTTGTATGAAAACTTAGTTTCAGAGCAAGGGCATGGTGACCTCAAACTAGGATGATTTCAGTACCATATACACTTATTTTTATAAATATTGCCATGCAATAGCTGTGTGCATGCAGGAGCTGATAGAAGTTCAGCTAGCACAACATTATAAAATATTTAAAAAGAAAGAAGAACCAGCTGTCACCATCCTATGTCTCTGACAAGCGAGAGCCACTCTACAGGCACTGACTTGCTGGATTTAAAGGAATACGTGAGCAGGTGCATTAATCACCAGTGCGAGGTATCAGTGCAGTGTTTTGCTGTACTTGTATATAATATATGCTCAGATGGAAACATTTCTAGTTTCCTTACTTCTGTCCTCTGCAGGTATCTTGATTTTCTTGATGCAGCAGCTCTTGTAATATCAGCTTTGCCTCTCATAGAAAGCTCTGCACTAAGATTAGCTCTGTTTGAAGCTGAACCTTGAAAATGGTGACAGTCATTTGGGTCTCATTTGGGGCCAGAGTGAACCCACGGATGAACCACAGGACTGTCTTCCCTCACCTCAGGGATGCCCAATCCTTGTCCTTCTTGTGCAGCTTCTAGTGAACCTTGCATGCTTCACTAAAGGCTTGATTTGTAAACTCTTGATTGCAAAGTTTCTTAGTGCAATGGGTGTTTGAACAAGCTCATTCCTACCTCTGTGTCATGTGGTTGGGCTTCTGTTTGCTGGCTGGGCAAACTAACTTTTCTAAACCATTTTATTAAGTGCTGAAGTGACCTCTGTGTGTGTAAGTAGTGCATTATCTCCAGCATCACTGGGAATAAGAGAAGAAATATGCAGATCTTTTACCATGAAGGGGGATTTTCTTGGGACTAATGAAAATGAAATGGAGAGCCTTACCACCAAAGATCTATGCAGCCTCATGGCCTTTGGCAGGTGAGGGTCTGTGAGCTCAGGCAACTGTCATTCTCTGGCAGGGAAGGCTTGGGACAAGGAAAAACTCTTTGTGGTAGGACTTGCTTTTTGTTTGCCATTGCCTGCTTTTAAACAGCAGGAGTGGGGCCCAGGGTGGAAGATTCTGATCACACACTTCATTTGATTCATGTTTTAATCTCATTTAAGACCCTAAAATAGATGCAGACATCTCTCATGGGATCTTTTTTTATTATTTATTATTATTATTATTATTATTTACTTGTCAGTTTTGGCATCCTGTATGCTGCTCAATGACGTCCTCTTTTCGTCTGCTCTGACATCATTTCCATGGAAATCCAATTTTTATTCCATAATCAAATGAACTAGTAGTTTGAAAAATGCTGCCTACAAATGTTTGCTTAAGCTCAGGTTTTCCTGGCTGAATATCAGGAAAGCAAATAGACAGGAACCTGCTTAAACAATATGCTGTTTAGAATATCCCTGGGTGCAGTTTTTTTGCTGTCCTTGTTGCACTCCCACCCATAGCAATGGTCACCAAAGAGCTGCAGCAAAACTCACAGCTGGGTGCTTGTGCCTTGGCATAAGCGTGCAGTGTGCTTTCTGCTTCATCCCATTGATGTTTTTGTGCTAGGGCCCATACCCATGTCTATCGGGCAGTGCCTTGCTCTTGTGCCAGAGCTTGCCTCTGGGCACCTCTTTTGTATCACATATGTTTTGCATCACCGTAAGCTCTTAAGAAGTTTCCTGGGATTTGTTTCCATTCAGCTGACCCTCTGCAGTCCTCATCTGGCTTTTTGCACCTCTGCCATTGTACACCGTGCTCCCCTCCAGACCGTGCACAGTGTTTGCAGCACAAGTGAAGCTGTGAGGACAATGCAGGCTTGTGTCTCAGCATCAAGCAGACAGTCTGGAAGAAAGAGAAAACAAAAATACCATCCTTGAAAAGGACAGAGGTTTGAGCATCCCTATGCCCCAGGAGCCAAGCTGTTTAAAACCTGTGAAGAGTGGAGTGTGGGGCAGAACATTATCACCATGGTTGGGCCGACACATTCATCCAGGACAGGCAAAAATGACTCATGAGGTTCTATGACCAAGGAAGAAACAGGACCCAAGAGAAGATTTGCAAAGTTGTTACTAAAGGTTAGTCCTCATCATGAGACCCTTCTTCCATTAGGGAAATGAGAGGGAGAGTTTCACCCTTTCATTGTTGTAATTCTGTTCTTAAAATGAACAGAGTTACATGTATTGCTAAATGTAACATTACAATGGCCTTGTTTGAATATTTCTTAAAGATAATAAGAAGCTGTGGTGCTTTGTAAAAAATTGCCCATTTCCAAACAGCATTTTAGATGGTGCTTTGCCAGCTCTCAATTACAGAAAAATATTTTTTCTTTGTTATTTTTTTTTGCTTCTTTTTGTGTTTGTTTTTGTCTGTTTTCATAAACAAGTAGCATTTATCTTTCCCTTTGCCTTAATTCTCAGCAATAATTAAGAATGATCAATAGCATTTCTAATAGTAGATACAGTCTTAACAATATTACAATTAATGTCGGGTCTATTTCACTTACCTTGAACAACTTTTTTTTTTTTCCCAATCCAATTTTTAACAGATCCTTCGTGTCTTCAGTCCTCGCAAATGTCATGTGAGAGTGATGTATTCAAGTGTTTTTCCCTTTCACATGTACTGCACACAAAGGAAGTTAATACCAAAAAACAGGCTTTCCCATCTAGGGCTTACCTGGCTTTTCCTTTCATGTACTTTCACCTGCACGTAATCTGCTGGTTCACACAGGTGTATTTTCCCTTCTGACAGCACTGGTTGCTGTAGCTGAGCTTGGTGTTGGGAGGGTTTTATCTTCTTCTGGAGCTCCACTGCATTGAGTTAACCTTTCATCCCCTTCCAACAAGCTGGTCTTTACGACATAAGTATTCAGAATCTTCAGATTTCTCCCAAATAGTACCTCAGCTGGCATTAATGCTATCTGGTTTGGCCTCTGTCTTCTGTGCATTGAAGTGACTGGTGAGACATCTGGCCACGTCAGACTGGTTTCTACACAAATTTTAGATATTGCATGGTTCAGGCCCTGTTTCATTCTTTCAATTTTCTCTGATGATTATATGTGATAGGGTTACACAGTTGTTGGGTGATACCTGATGTTTCATATAAGTAACATCACTTCTAAAAACCTGAGCAGAGAAGCTCCCCTTCTCTGAGTCAAATCTGGAGTTGACAGGGTTATGTCTGTAAGGTCTGCTCTTGCCTCTTCTAGGTTTTGGGTGACCTCTGTGCAGTCATGATGTGGTTCCCCTTCATCCAGGTTCAAGATGTTGCTTCTTCTCAAGGGGATGTTCTCTGCTGCCAGCAACAGCAATTTGTACTTCTGGAGTCTCTGAAAACTCAACAACTGTGACAATTTAGTGAACCTCATTTCAACATCATGTGGGATGTTTACCTTCAATGGATGTCCTAATATGTCCCATATTTTTCTACCATAAACACTAATGAGGCTATTGTTTAAATATCTACCCCTGCCCCCTTAATAAATGGGTATAATTGGCTTATACAGTAAGCCATTGGGCAAATATACCCTCCAAAGTATGAGCTTGGTAACACTGAGTGTTTTTATGTGTGTGCTATTTGTCAGACTCTGTGGCCATATATTCTTCTACACATGTGCTCTGAGAAATCCATTTGTGCCTCATCTGCTCATGTTTCCCATTCCTCTGTGTTTGACAAGAAAAAGCTGAGAAGGCTTTGGGTTTTCTGCTGTAATCCTGAGAGCCTCAGAAAGTGACCAGTACAATAAATGAATGTAATAAATCTTCTATTGTAGAAAATAAACAAAGGCCTACACCCAAAAGAATAGATTCTGCTTTGTAACACTATTGAAAAGTGCTGCAACACTTCAGAAAGTACCCAAAATGCTTTAAGTTTCCAAAGTTTTTCTTCATTGGTACTACCAAAACCACCCTTCTGTTATCATTTGCCATATAAGGTCTTTACAGAATGAAGTTCAGTATTTCTAACTGTGTGGTTTGTTTTGTCAGGCGCTGCATGAAGGAATGCTTGGGGAGGAACGTTTTCAAGCTCTACTGATTTTTTACTTTTTGGCAGCAGACTTTTCACTACAGTTTCATTCTGCTTTGTAGTACCTTCTTCCCCCCTCTCTTTTTCTCCCCCTTCCCTCCCTCCCTCCCCCCCCCAATAATCTGTTTCTAATAATGAAGAAAAATAAAAAAATAATTGTATCCCAGTGTTGTATTAGTAACTCCCATTGAAGGGCAGCAGTAGCCTTATCAAAAGATTCTGCCATCACTGCTTAAAATACCAGCTCACAAATCAAGTGTTTAAAATAAATCCATGCAAATAGTGATAGATTATGATAGATTAAGCTGATGAAACTGAAACTTACTATCTTGTACTCTCATGGTCATTTATTGTAGATGTGGAAAGATTCTGTTGTTCCAACACTTACTTATGGGAATTGCTTCACTTTAATCAAGGGACAGAATTTACCACCTCCAATTAGGCTGAAGAATTTTGGAGCAATACCCTCTGATGTCTTCTCAGTATGTAAACTTCTTTTTTGGCTTGTACAGTATTCTGAGGTAACGTAGATCTTCACTGAGATACCTCTGCTCAAATTGCAATCTTGAGATATACTTGCTCTCCAGCCATATGCTGTTTATTTAACAGAGCTGACATATCCAGCAGTTCTGGAGTCTTATTTGGACTCCTTTACTGATGAGGTTTCAGGCAATAAAAACACCGTAAATTAATTTTGGGTCTTAAAGGTTTTAGCCCAGAAGCCAGACAACTGAAGAAGTCAAGGGGAACTGTAAGTCCAGTTTAATCACATACATGTAGAAACATCACTGCTGGAAGGTACCTAAATAAGCATCTCAGGAGGGAAGGAAGGAAGGAAGGAAGGAAGGAAGGAAGGAAGGAAGGAAGGAAGGAAGGGAGGGAGGGAGGGAGGAAGGAAGGAAGGAAGGAAGGAAGGAAGGAAGGAAGGATTCACCAGCCATTTTGTAAGTTAGCTTATGTGTTAGAGGTGATTTTTGCTGATGTGACTGCTACCAGCTGCACACAGGTTTACTGAATTGTAAGACTTCATTTAAAAATATATCTTAATAATTGGCCTTTATAAACCAATTTAAAATGCCTCCTGGGTGTTACAGCTATCAAAATATAAAATATGTTTTTTCAAATAGTAATTGTGAACTGTATAATTGCTAGAAGCATATAAAGATAGCATTAGTGATACGTGTCTGATACAAAATAAGACAAAACAGAGTTATAGGCATTTGCATTGCCCCAAAATTAAAAACAAAGCAAAACCAAAACCAAACTAACAATCAAACAAACAAAACACAGAAACAACCAAACCCCCAAAAAGAACACATTGTCCACTAGAACCCCCAAGTCTTTCTCTGCAGGGCTGCTCTCAGTGAGTTCTTCACTCAGCCTGTGCTCATGGCTAGGATTGTCCTGGCCCAGGTGCAGCACCTTGCACTTAGAATTGTTGAACCTCATTAGGTTCTCATGGGCCTGCTTATCTCACTTGTCCAGGCCCCTTTGGGTGGCATCCCTTCCTTCTGTTGTATCAAATGCACCACTTAGCTTGGTGTCATCTGTAAACTTGCTGAGGGAGCACAAGGGAGTGGTAGAAAGAGGAAAAGACAGAAGTGGTTAGGAAGGAAGTGGGTATTTTAGAAACTTTAGCAATTTCAGCAATGAGAATGCATGAGTGCCTGAAGGTGAACAAAGAAGAAAGGATAATCACAGGCAGAGAGCCATGGGAACAGGAGGTTCCTGGGCTCCAGCAGGATGTGGGTCCCTGCCCTCATCCCCAGGCTGGGATCTGATGAGAGCAATGAGCAAGCTCAGTTGCTGGGCTGTTACGAGAGATAGTATTTTCTTTCTTTAGAATCTAACAGCTTCAAATCCTGTCAGCGAAACTTTTTTTTTCTTTTTTTTCTTTTTTTTTTTTTTTCATAAAACCTACCAAACAACCAACATCTCCCAAACTTAAAAAACAACAATAACAACAAACAAACAAACAAAAAGTTAGAAGTTTCCTTATTCCTGACCACCAGCCCTGAAGTTTGTCTAGTGGCTGTTGATTGAAAAACTGACAGCAGACAGACCAAGACCTGACATGTCTGTGTGCTATTTAATAGCGCACTTGCAATGCAAAATATTAGTAGGTGGTTACATTAGAATTGTAGAAACATAGAATGGTTTGGGTTGGAAGGGACACTAAAGACCAGCTAACTCCATTCTCTCTGCCATGAGCAGGGACACCTCCCACTTTACCAAGTTGCTCAAAGCTACATCCAACCCAGTCTTGAACAGTTACAGGGATTAGGCATCCACAACTTCTCTGGGCAACCTGTGCCAGTGTCTCACCACCCTCCAAGTGAAGAATTTCTTCCTTATATCTAACTTAAATCTGCCCTTTTTAAATTCAAAACCATTAGTCTCCGTGCCCTATCACTGCACTCCCTGACATACTGTCTATGCTGCATTGCTGTGTTGTGGGCAATTTTGATATTCACCTATTTTGATATTCACCTATGCCTTTAATGAAGTTTAAGTAAAAGAAGGAACTAAAAGGAGACCTGGGTGAAATAATGCCTATTTTGAGAGGACCAGTGGTACTTTAATTGGTCTGTCACATGCCAAAGGTATGTGTGAATGCTTGGCTGCATATCACTGTCATATCCAATAGCCATCAGAGTTTTACAAGGAAAAGCACAACTATTTTTTCAGGGATGAGAGACTGGGAAGTGCTTGATATAGATGTAAGGGGGAAATCTGGCTGTTCCACACCCTTTCCAGGAGCCTACAGCCCCAAGAAGCCAGTGTGGTCCCATGAACATGGGAGGTGATGGACTCCCATGAACATGGGAGGTGATGGACTCCTGTGCCTACCCCCAAGGATCTGTACTGTCACAGCACTTGGTCCAAAATCTGCAAAGCAACATTTTTAAAAGTAAACTCTGATCAATTCCTCATTGCAGTAATGACCACTATTAATACTGCATGGGATATTTTTTTCCCTTTTAAAGAATCACAATGTAGATATCTAAAATTCTACGGGAATCTGAATGTACATTTGTGGCATTTACAACACAAGGAGCAGACGTACAGTTGATGGAGAAATGCTGTAGCAGTTTCTGTTCTAGAGGAAACATGGGAAAAGACCCACACTAACAACTCAATGTTAAAATTAGTGAGATTTATTTTAAAGGAGGGTTGAGCCACTACCTGCTGTTGGTGTAAGGCAAGAGGACTTTATCATATATGCCTAGAAATACAACTGCCTCTAGTATAAGAGCTGACAGCCTGCTTGGTGGTGTATGGAAAGTACAAGAAAGGCAGTTCTTTCTCCAAAAAAGGTTATAAATCCAGTGCCCATTTCTTTCCCCCAAGTATATTTCCCCATTGAGGCATGGAAATGCAGAACTAGGGGCAATATAGATGTAGAGAATGTGCAAGTTCTGCTGAAGAAACACAGAACTTGAAAGAATCCTGTTTTTCAGACTGTAGCTGTATCTTCTTGATGGATGTTACTGAGGCTGACCTCTCTAGCCTCAGGGAGAAGTCTCATCCTCAGAGAAAATCACTTTTTCCTGTGTTTGATTGAACTGGAAGCAACACAGATCACAGTGTTTGGTGCCCTGCAGGTGCTGGTGTTCCCACTTTGGGCCCAGAATAGGAAGAGGTGAACATAACCGATGTTTAATCAAATTAATTGATTTGATATTTAAAAACAAAATTCCTAAAAGTCAGCAGTAATCAGAACTTGTGACTGAAAATGCAGTTTTAGGTGAATGAAAATGTATTTCCTCTCATCTCAATGAGGACTTCACCTAAATATGTCCAAATTTGCCTCCCCTGGGTGGTGAGACAGAGAACTGAGTTCAGCAGACTGCATTAGGGACCTCAAGGCTTTTCTTCCAATCTATGAGTCTAGTGAATTAATCTATGAGGTAAATTGATAATTTATGATAAATTATTCTATGAGATCTTTAGACTTCCAAAGAAAATCTGAGTTTGCAGAAATCAGACAGATATTACACAGTATGGGAAAGCACATAATATTCTCAAGTAAAGTCATAAGGGAAGTCTGTTTTTATCTCTATTATACCTTCTCCCAAAATATTATTCTCATGTCATAATCTTGTAAATAAAGTAGTATGTGTATTTGTGAAGTATTACTACGTATATATACAGTGTATAAATGTACAGTTGATATGTTTAATGGTGTACAACATAGCATGATGTGCTGTAGTTATCTATTCTAAATAATTATATGAGCTCTGCAATAATAATTGGTCATTTATATTTGGTTATATCCTTTTCTACATGAACTTTCAAGATAAGGCAAGCAAGAAGCCAAGAAGTTGTTTCTAATATTGTTTCCTATGAGCAGGCCCCTTAATGCAGAGTTCCTGTGCCACTGCTGACAAACAATTGTGATACCATAAATAGATTTCTTCCATTAGAGCAGAGAGATGGTCCCTTTCCAGTGGTTTTATTGGTGGCACTGCAGTATGTTATGCAGTATGTCCATTTAGGATCCTTTTTTTTTTTTTTGGATTTAACTGTATGTGCCAAATGAAGCTGTTGTCAGGTTGTATGCTTGTCTGCAAGTAACTTGGCGATCTAGCATAAATATGCATGCATTTCAGTCTCTAAGGATTTGGGAATCAATATTCATTTTCCCTTTGGGCTATGATGAATCTGCAGGAATATGATCTGAGGCTGGCTCCCTTCATGTTACTCATGCCTGGTGTTTCTTGTCTGAGCAGGATGAGCAGGACTTGGCCCCAGGCTACTTAACAGCAGCCACAGCTGCCCCAGGATGAGGGGGGAAGAAGGGAAGGAGGTGAAAGCATTAGCCTCCCCTGTTATTCTCCTTCCAGGGACTCTCCTTTTGGCCATTAGGTGTTAATAGTTTTCTCTGGGTGGACAAAAATGTGAGGCTTGGGAAAGCCAGTGCGGCTGCGTGACAGACTGCTTTGTCACTTGCCTGGCACTGGCAGCAGTGCACACAAGGGGTCAGACTAAGTGCATCAACTTAAAATCTTCACTTCAACATTTAATTAACATTTCCAAAGTTTTCTTGGATACTTGCAGGACTTTTCTCTTTCTGTTGAGCATCAGTCAGTATTGTTACTGGGCAGGCGCCAGAGTCTTGGCTTTAAAGTATGTGAGTTTGAACCACATTACCTTTATTTCAAG